CATGGCGCGAGGTGTCGCAGTGTGCCAGAAAAGGGGTACCACAACTACGGTGCCGACGGTGAAAATATATAGGGCCAGAGGAGATCATGCTGGACGCCCAAATTCCGGTGACTCCTGCGCTCATCATTTTTAAGCGAAACTCGCGTGGCGCGGATCACCGGAACGTCTGGGTAACCGAGACAGGGCTGTAGCCTGTGGGGCCCATGGTCGTTAGGGTGATCCAGCCACCGCAGAATTCGAAGGCAATTGAGAGGAGTGGGCGGGAAGAGCGTGTCCGCTTTGTGCCCACCCCACCTGAGGAGCAGAGGGAATTTCTGCTCAACCGCGACCTTAGAATGATGACTGTAAATCTGTAGGGTAAACAATGAGTACCTCAGGCTGGTGCGAACTCATGCCGCCTGGTTCGTGGATGGTTGGTAGGCGGAGATGCTAGACGGAGATGTGGTACCTAGATCGCCGTTGATCACCGGGATCACACACCAATCAACAGGACCCAATCAACCTGCGCCAAAATCGAACCGTGAGACCGCCTGAACTTCCTCGGATCGAAATTCAAAGGGGAACAGTCAACAAGGCGGACTTTCAACACCTCGGTGGCTTACCGCCAGTCGGGGTACATAGTTTTCGACCCTTGACTCTACACACTTGCAAAGTTGGCCTTCTGATTTCCTTGAGCCACTGGCCAAGTGCGACGCTCGTACGATCTTCAAGCGCTGCTGCACAGATGCGACGGGACCTTCATGATGGATGGGTAAATCGGCCGAGTCCAAACTTCAAAGGGTTTCAGGTTCCAGGGTTTCAGTTGGACGCTTCGGGCTTCAGGGTACCTTCGTTCCATTCTCCATCCATTCAAGCGAGCTAAAACGAAATCAATTTGAGCCGGCAAAGGAATATAACCGGAATTAACCCCGAAATTGCGTGAAACGGCCTTCAGTTATGTTTTCGAGTCGGCCGCCGGATCTGCAAGCGACACGGGAAGACAAGGTGTATTTTGAAATTGGACTTGACTGGGAGAGAAACAACTCGGGCTCCGAGTGCGCTTGCGCTACAGAGACCCCGCTCGGGATTTTGATAGCTATAGATTAGAGATCGCAAGGGTTGAAGCTATTCATCGGTTAGGTTGCGTCTAAACGCGCTGTTTGAATCGTCGGATGTCGGATGTCAGGTGTCGGATGGGATGGGATGTCGGAGCATCGTCCCTTTGCTACAGATACAGGATACGCGGGCTCCAAAGTCCCAAGTAGCCATCGGAAGGTTCGCCTCCCCCAAGTGGACTGTAACAGCATGCAAGGGTCGGCGATGGTTGCGAAAAGGAAATCCACTAAGCTCCACGCGGTTAACAGACCACCCAAATAATTTCCAGCTCCACGGGTAGACGGCCATCAAGCAGCCCACTCCCCATTGCAAAAATTGCCAAAGTCGCTAGTTATTTTCCGCCATGAGAAGATACATACTTCCCAGTTGAGCGTACTTTACGGCACCAGGACCACCAGATAAAGATTGAGAAGGACGGAGACAAAGGACGGAGTGGAGACAAAGACAAAGACAAAGACAGACGGAAAGGCCGAGATCTAGACAGGATCTGTCGACGGAGCGGAGATCAAGATTGGCTGGATCAAGATTTAGGCGAGAGAATAAATTGAATTACGAGGTCCGATGTGGGTGCGCACTGCGGGAACAAGTTATCCCGTCGATTGAGTTCAACAAGAGTTTTGCGGAAGGGAGGAGCATTCAAAGGCGGCGCGCACGTCGGATATCCGAGTCGCTCCATCCGACTCCAGACTCCGGACTCCAAGGCAAAGAAAGCCGAGCTCCAATATGGCACACATACTGTCCAATAAATCACAAAATAGTTGAAACGACACCGGATGGGAGAATTAACTTCGAGATGACTTTTGGGAGATAAAAAGCATCGAGACGACACTTCTGTGGGGAAAACAGGTTGAAATGCAGCCCGAACAACAGACTGTGAAGTGTCGGTCGATGAAGTCACAAGTGTGCCGTCCACATCTAGCCGCAACACTTATCACTGGTTCAACCATGTCGACGTCGGGGCTGCGGCCCGGTGAGAAATAACCATCGTTCTAATGGAGTGATCTCTCCTCCCTTTTGCCGTCATGTCTGCCAGGGCTTCAAATTTGGATTCACCGTCCACTGATGGTACGTGGGTAGTCGTTCCCAATACATTTCTCTAGTTTACCCCCAGTCTTGATCCTCTTACCTCCATTCTTTTACATACAGAACAAACTTCATAGACGGCAGCATCCACCTCGGTTCAGTAAAAAAAAAAGTGCTTTCCTTACTCTTTAGGCCGTTAATCCCCTCCCCTGCGGCATTCCGGCGGCATACTGTACTATTCGTGGTCGATGCCGATGCCGGCCGGCGGCGTAGCATCAACAGTACTGGTGATTGTTCTTCGGGGATTGTTTGTATGCGGGACCGTGACTAGTCCAACCTGCCATGCCGGACGAAGACTGGCACTTGGGCTTTAATCTTGAACACCTGGTCATTTCAAGTTTTTCGTTGGACAGTGTGTCATCTCAACTTTTTTTTTGTCCGACCAGATGTCATTTCAACTGTGGGCATTTATTGGACACTATATGGCCCATACTCCAATATCCAAAGGGGCCGTGCCTTGGCGGATATGTGCATTCAAAAGATTGTATTAGCCAAAGCGCCGCGACCCCTCTAGGCACCGTTGAATGCGCGGGGTGAAAGGAGGAAGACAATGGCGTACAAACACGCACCAAACAACCCGTGTTGGTTGATATTCGGCCGCGTGAGGCGTGCTTGTTCTCGTTCTCCTCCTCTTCCTTCCTTTCCCTCCACCGTCTTTTCTCCTCCGACGTGCTCGTAGCTCAACGCGCTCTCGACTCAACGCGCTCTCGACTCCCAACGTACTCTTGAAGCCCTCGCAACTCACCGTGCTCTCAACGCCTTCGCAACTCACCGTACTCGTACCTCGCACCTCACCGTGCTCGCACGCCATGAAATCCCTCACTTTCACCTCCGCGCAGATCCTCTTCCTCTCCCTCATCGCCTCCACACTTGCGCACGGCTGGCTCGGCACCCTAACCATCGCCTCCACCGCGCACACCGGGCCCCTCCCCGTCGAGCAAATCGGCCCTTCCCCCTCCTCCTCCTCCTCCCCCTCCCCCATCCGCCAAATCCTCAACAACCTCCCCATCAAGGACCCCCGCTCCTTAGACCTCACCTGTGGGCGCGGCGCCGTGCCCGGCACGCAGCTCGCCGCCGCCAAGGCGGGGGATAAGATTGAGTTGGGGTGGAAGACGCTGGCAGAGGGGGGGCGGTGGTTTCATGATGTTGGGCCGATGATGGCATATATGACGGAGTGTGGGAGTGCGAAAGCGTGTACGAGCGGGGAAGGGAAGGGGGGTTCAATGCGAGCGAGGCGGAGTGGTTTAAGATTGCCGAGCAGGGGGTGGGGGAGGATGGGACGTGGGCGCAGGCGAAGCTCGGTGCGTTCCTCCCTTTTCTCCTTCCTTCCCGCTTTCTTCCTCGCCCCTCTTCCCCTTGCTCACTTCGAGTCAAGACTCACCGCCGCACAGACACCGGCGCCCCCGCAACGCTCACCCTCCCCCGCACCCTCGCCCCCGGCAACTACCTCCTCCGCTTCGAGATCATCGCCCTCCACACCGCGCAGTCCCCCGGCGGCGCCGAGTTCTACCCCGCCTGCGCGCAGCTGCGCGTCTCCGGCACCGGTACAGGCAAACCCACGTCGAGCGAGCTCGTGAAGCGTATAAGGGGACGGATAGGGGGATATTGGTCCAGGTGGATGTGTATGGTTAGGGGAGGGTGGGTATGTGTTCCCGGGGCCGAGGGTCGCGGCGTTTGTGAGGGGTGGGCGGGGGCGTCGAAGGCGAGCGCGACGGCGAAGACCACGAAGGCAGCCGCGACGGTGAAGACTAAAGGGCGCTGTTTCCAATAAGGCCGCGACGTCGTCTACAACCACCAAGGCCGCTGTCACGCACACCTCCACTCACACCTCCACGCCCGCCGCCTCCACTTCCGCCCCCAAATCCGCCACCACCGCGTCGCCAAAGACGTGCAAGACGAGCCACGCGTCGCGGCGACGGCGCGCACTCGCGGACGCCGCTGACTCAGTGGAGGCGCGTGCGGAGTCTGAGCCGGGGCGCGTGGAGGATGTCGAGACGGGGCGCGTGGACGAGGTGATGGATGTGGAGGAGAAAAGCAAGAAGGATGTGAAGCGCTCCCGCGCGCGTCATCTGCACCGGCTCGGCGGGCCGGGTAGTCGGGCGTCGTTTTGAGCACCCGCGAGCTCCTTCCTCGCATCTTCCTCCGTCCTCCCCACATCCGCACGATTTCTCCAACCTCCGTACACCATCTTCCCCGGCGCGGCGCGTCAACGACTTATAACGCGCATCAACAACACGAACCATATTACTAATTTACACGACCGGCGCATGCGGCCGCCGCACCTCTCTCCGCCTACATCGCCGGCCACCGGTCACGATTCTTGCCTTCTTGCTCTGTCTTTCCCCCTCCCTCGTGTCTTCCCATCCCACGTGTATCACCGCCGTCGACGACATCGCGTCCGGACGCGGTGTCTCGCCCTCTACTTGATCAACGACTCGCCGGCGTCGCGTCTCCACTCGTCTCTCAACACCGGACCCGGCGTCCTTTGCGCTTGCGCCGTTCAACCCTCGACGGGCTCTCAAGATCCAATTTCTTGTATATTCAACTGCTTACTTACGCTTGAATGCCTACTTATGATTGATTGAATGTACCATCTGTAGAAAATCTAGATAAATTGTGTAGATTGTAGATGAAGAATGAGAAGCGCTGAACGTTTCCCTTCTACGTTCTTTTGTTCAGTGTTCTGCTTCCTTGCTGCGCTATCCGCCCACTTTTCTCGTCTCGAATCTCCCCAAAGAAAACCACAAACCACGAGACGAATTCACAAAATACATAAATAAAAACGCCTGAGACACAGCACAAAAACGTCGTGTTCAAGGCGACGCCCGTGACAGTGGGAGTCGAACCCACGTCGTCCACTGACCATTTCAACATCTTGAGTGGAAGATCTACCGCTGATCCACAAGGGCTTGCTCCCTTGGTAGGAGTGTTGAGTTTTCCTATTCCCGGAAGTGTGAATAAAGGGTTGAGCCTGAAATTCGGAGAAGAGGGATTTGAGCCTGGAACAAAAGAAAGGGGAGTTGAAGGAGTAAAAAAGAAAAAATCCGCGTCCCTAGCTAAGCCCTCCGTGGGAGTCCAACCCACGTCATCCACCTACTCGAAGGATTTTTTCACATTGCAAGTGGAGGATCTACCACTGATCTACGAGGACATTGGTCAATGTACATGGGTTGAGTTTGGTCAGGCCGTTTCCGTGAATAAATTTAAAGGATTGGACTCGGAATCCGTTCTTGTATGACAAGTGAGCCCAGAAGGAAGGGATCCATCCAAACAGAGGAGGAGGAATCCAAAATTGAGCGGGTGTCCCCTAAAGGAAAAGAAAGGGGAGTTGAAGGAGTACAAAAAGATACGCATATCCCTGACACTGTGCGGTCAAACCATCATGAATTCCACGACAATTTCCTGACGAAATTCGGCACACACGGTTTTGAATTTCCCAAGAATTCATCAGTGGTTCCTGATGTATCGTCATAAACCGGGATCATGAAATCCAAACAGGTTTTAGGTACATTCCTGATGTTTCCTGATGTATCGTCATAAACCGGGATCATGAAATCCAAACAGGTTTTAGGTACATTCCTGATGTTTATTTCACGACGGTTCATCACAATTTTCAGGACGATTCATCGTGTTCCATCCTGGGAGTCGAACCCACGTTGTCCACCTTTTATTGTCTTTCATATCCTATTACAAGTGGAGGATCTACCGCTGATCTACGAGGGCTTGATCCTGTTGTGGGAGGGTTGAGTTTCCTGGGAGGTGAGTGTGAGTAAATGGAGGAGTGAAATGAACTCGAAATGTTGTCCTTGTATAACACGGAGCATTGAGCCAGTAGAAAATCAGCACGACGGGAAGGGAGTGCAAAAGTTGTGATGCCGACTTCCCTTAGTAAGCGTTGCGTCCGCCACCAGAAAAAAACGGTTCGGTGCTCGCTGAGCTGCCCCTGCAAGGTTCGAACTTGCGATCTCACGATGAAATGGATCTGTCGCTTCATAACAGTCGTGCGCCTTCACCAACTGGGCCAAGGGGCAGGTAAAAAATCAGATTTGAGGATGCAATGGAAGATGAGTACTCATTGAGACATGAACAACCAAAAAAAAAAAAAAAACCTGTATTCAAACATGCTGTATGCAAAAGCTGGCGACATGTATTATTATCATCGCGAGGAAGACCTATCGCCGATCTACTGACATGATGGTCTGGTTGCAGTCAATTGGACGAACTCACAGACAGGACAAGATAAGAAATACCATGCCGAGCTCATCTGACGCCTGTCAGCAAGCATTGTGTCTCGTGCTTGTTTTAAGTGAGTGTATCAACGCAAAACCAAGGGCAGAATGTGTGATTCTCGGAGACAGCGGATTCTTTTGAGGTTGAACATTGCTCACGTGACTACGGTTGAATTCCGACGATCAATTTGTTCCCGAGGTTCGTATAATCGTACTAAGAGGCGGGAACTTCCATCGAGCATTAAAAGTCCCGGAAATAACCAATCATCAGATAAAGTGTAGCTGTTGTACGATTCATTGGACATACACCGTGAAAAGTCTCGTCAGACACGAAATCACCGCGCGCGATGGAATCCTGAACCCCGAGTGAGTTGTGTCTGATCATGTAAATGCCTGGGTCATCAGGGGCGCACAACGAAGGCATACAATGCACAGCATCACCCAAAGCATTCGCAAGTGTCAAAAAAACTCAAGCTCCTTGTCCGATGCAAGAAAATGGTGCATGTATATCCTCCTTTCAGAGCGGATTGCTATGAGAGAATATGAAAAAGACGCGTAATCGAACTGTTTGCAGCTCTGTGAATTAGATCCCCCACTCTTCCGTACCGTTCAAGTACAAATGAACTCGCCGGTATCCCAGATACCGTGCTATTTAGAATAAAGCTTCATGCAATCACTGATGATATATATGTAGAGTCTTCCCACTTAGGCAGCTCAAGCTTGGGACGCGAATCAGAGTCAATATTTTTCCCGCCGTCCTTGACCCTGCTTCAGGCATGAGCCAACTTCTCTGCGGATCGATCTGAGCCCGGACCTGATGATGAGGTTCGCGTCCACGAGCCGTTTGACTGCGGCCATGAACAGTAGGTAGCGGGGGCCCATTCCAATCTTGTCCTTTTTGGCAACTTACCAGGGGGCAAACTTATACGGCACCTGTTTATCTTTGTAACCCCTCAACATGGAAAAGCATAGTGTGTACATAATCTGTGAGGAGGACCAGTTTGCTATGCTGCTCAAGTTGGTGCTTTATTCAACCCAACTATATATTTGGATCGGGTGCTCAAACTATTTTATTTCGCCACTCAAAATATTTTTTTAAGCGGACCACAAGCGGACCAGAAATATTTTTCGGGCAGACCAGAAATATTTTTGAGCGTTGCTCCAACTATTTTTCGGGTCGTCCATATCGGGCATGTACGGGAGGCACCGGCGACGTGTCGGGGCGGTGTCGGGATGCTCAGCGCCGTGCACCACGACCCCGAAGGCCTCCAATCAACATTGTGTGTCGTTGTTGCCCATCAGCTTCTTGTTCGGCCCGATCCGCCCACGTCGCGTGCCTTGGCAATGGCAGCATCCTTGGTGCCTGCTCGCCCCTCGCCATGAATGCCCCCCCTGCTTGGAGCTTGTCTGGGCGCATACAAGCGATCCAACTCGCTGGATTCTGATTTTCCACTGCGGTCACGGTCTTTGGCCCACTGCATTTGCATTCAAGAAATGCCCAATCACGATAGGGACTCGGAGTCGGCGTAGGATGTCCTTATACATTAGTCCAAAGCGACGTACATGAAAGGGTACAGGATACCGGGTGCTATACATGTTTTATCTCCAGTTTTCTTTTGTTATGCCCCGGTCTGTAGCGTGCACGCAAACCCAACTCGACCTTCACACCAACTTGAACACGACGTCCGCGCACAAGGAAGATAAGTGTGCGCTGCAGCGCGACTCAGCGGGCCGCACACGTCTGATGAATGCCGCGCTGTATCTACGCATGGGGCACACATCGGCCAACGAAACCGACGCACAAGCGCTCAGATCTAAGAGCGAGCCTGCGCGCATAGTCACGGGCGGGCCGTGCGTCGCTGTTGCCTACTGGACGTTCCGCGCACAACGGCAACAGGTGCGGTGGAGGCATGCGTGCAACGTATGCCGACACCGACGCTACGGGTGCGCCAGCGCCCATTTGAGTTTGCATCGGCCTCGCTCCAACGTGCCGTTCGTACGCTGGATGTGTTCCCCACCACGTCTTTCCTCGCTCTTCACGTACGTGTCTCGTCTCGTTGCGGATGCGGCAGCGCCATTTGCACAAAGTGCAGAGGCAGCCGAGGCCAGGCAACGAGGAGAAAGAGGACGCGGACGGGAAAAGGACGGGAAGGTGGATGCGCACCTCGTCTCCCTCTCAACATATACTTCGATGATTTTCACGCCGCTCAGAGCAGACGCAGCGGGGCGCGCACGCTGATGGCGAGTAATCCGTGCCCAGGCAGTGCTCGACTGTTGAACATCACTGTGTAACCATGTGCACTAGGGTTCGCCGGCGCACATTGCTGCCAGATAGCGCGAAGGGAGACCGCGCGTTCGATTGACGCCAGTGGGCGGACGAGGACACCGGCATCGAAATCGGGGCGGCATGGCGTGCACCAGGCGGGACGGAGTGTGAATGACTGGGCGGAAATGATGTGCTGTGCGATGCAAGGACCTGCTGGATATGAAAACAAAGAAAACTGGTACGTACCTGCGGCCACTCCTCACGCGCTGAATCTGATCGCAAGTTGGGCCCAGATACCGTCAAGCGTAGGCGACTAGCAAGAGGTCAGCGAGCACGGGGTATTATGAGGTAGATAGCGTACATCTAATGCGACAGAGAAGCGGGGGCGACGGGGTGCGATGCAGGTCCATAGGGAGGTTTCGGTGTTGCGGATTTTGTATGGAACAGATATCGGTGTGCAGCTATCCAACGATAACTAAAGATAACATATGTCATGTGCCTGTCTCTCACCCAACTTATGTGCACCACGATCTGGATCCTGAGTGACTTCGGTGCACGGATCTGCTCAGGGTGAGGATGGCTTCAAGCTGCCTGGTTGTACCCGTGGTGAGGCAGCAATTGCACTAGGAGTAGCCCATGGACTCCAAGAGATATTGCAGCGGAAAGGCATTCGGTGAGAGGAAGAGGCAAGGAAGAGGGTCAAGAGCCGGTCGCATCGGCCCGATCAAAGGCTGATGGACAACAGCGACACACAATGACTTGAACAAAGTTGTGCGACGCAAGTGCGACGTCGAGAGGGCTTCGAGGTTGTAGCACACGGCGATCAGTAGCCCGACATCTCCCCGACGTGTTGCCGACGCCTCCCGTATGTTCCCGATATAGGCGGCGTGAAAAAATAGCTGGAGTGACCGCCAAAAAATATTTCTTCTCTGTCCAAAAATATTTTTGGAGCGCTAGAAAAATATTTTGTGGGATGAAATAAAATAGTTTGAGCACCCGATCCAAATATATAGTTGGGTTGAATAAAGCACCAACTTGAGCAGCATAGTTTGCACTCGGAATCAACAGCATACCTGAAAGACATGGTAAATATGTGGAGAATGAAAGAAAAGGTCCGCGAACTTCTCGATTTGAGGGAGAAACTCGACTACATTCTTTGCAGCCTGATTCCCCTCTTTCGCGTTTTGCTTTAAAATAGGAACAAACGCATCAGGGTCTAGCACCTGCGGTTTCTGTGAGAACACACTCATCTTTTGCATGGCGGCTTGGGATTTGCCTTGTCCGAATCCTGGCGTGCTCCTAGAATTTAGAAGGATCGGTTCATTTAACTTTTTTTGGTGGTCCGCGAACACGGTTAAAAATTCATCATCGTCTTTCACACCGTCCAAGTGCTCCAGAACCAGGAAGTGGTCCCATCGGGTGAGGTCTATAAATACATCAGTTCCTATGTTGAAAGCTCGAAGCTGAGGCCGGGACGTCACACCGGAAACCGAAAGCTGCTGGTTGAAAAAATAACCTGCTTGCTTTTGGCTTGCTTCATGTCCTCCCTCTCGATGAGCTCTCTGTTTGGTTAACGTTTGGTTGACAATGTTCAATTGAGATACACCCGTGGTTGTAGGAAGTGTACGAGATCTATCTACTGCTAGGGGATTTGTC